GATAGATGGATGGACGGTGGAGGGATGGTGGATGGTGGACGAAGGAGTGGAGGAGTGGTGGACTCAATGGTGGACGGAAGGATGGATTCAGTGGTGGATGGTGGACGGAAAGGACTGGATATAATGGAAACACGGAGGAGTGGATAGATGGTGGATGGTGGACGGAATATGGTGGATGGTGGATGAAGGGGTGGATAGATGGATGGATCTATGTGGTATGGAGGATGGCGGATCCCACGTATGGATACGGCGGATCCATGATAAACGGACGGATCCATGCATGAGCGTTGACGGTCCGATCCATGTGGAACGGACCGATGGATGGTGACCCATGTGAGTGGATGGATCTGTTGTATGCGGAGGATGGTGGATCTACGGCGGATGGACGGTATGCGGATGGATCCCATGCGGCGGATGGATGGACGGCATGAGTGGATAAATGGATGGACCCACGGCGTGGATACGGAATGGACGGCATGGATGGATGGAATATGGAGTGGATCCGACCCAGGATAACGGCGGAGGATGGACCTACGAGTGGAGGATGGATATGGATCCAGGCCGACCGGATATAACCCGACCCATGACGGTGGATGGATCCCGGTGCGGATAAATACGGATCTGGTATGCGGAGGATGGACGGCGGCGGATGGTGGATCTACGGATCGACCGAAGCCGGATCCAGTGGATGGTGACGGTGGATCCCGGCGGCGGATAATACGGATCTATGGATCTATGCGGATAGATGGTATGGATGGTGGACGGCGTGGATAAAGATGGTGGAACGAGCCCGGAGTGGATGGCTGACCCATGCGGAAAGTGGAGGATGGACGGCGGATGGTGGAACGACCCAGGGCGGAGTGGATGGATGGCTGGATCTACGGAGTGGATAGATGGCTGATCTAAGGCGGAGTGGATAGATGGACGGCGGCGGAGTGATACGGACGGCGTGGATGGTGGATCTGGTATGGATGGATCTACGGATAAATGGATGGACGGCATGCGGATCCCGGCGGACACACGGCGGATCTACGGATACGACGGATCCATGGAACTACGGACAAATGGAGGAAGCCGGATCTATGGATGGCTGGATCTGCGGAGTGGACCCGGCGGCGGACAGACGGTGGACGACGGTAGACGGCGGACCTGGCGGCGGATGGATGGATAGATAACGACCCAGCGGATCTATGCGGACGGCATGCGGAGTGGACCGGCGGATGGATGGACGGCGGCGGATGGAGGGTGGACGGCCCGCACGGACGGCGGACGGAGGTGGACCGGACCCGGCGGCGGAGGTGGATCCGTATGCGGATAACCGGCGGCGGATGGACGGCGGAGGATGACCCAGCGACAAGAGGGTGGATCCAGCGACAGACGGTGGAGGATGGACGGATCCAGGCGGATCGAGACATGGATCCAGCGGAGTGGACCCAGACGGACCCATGCGGATGGATCCAGCGGATGGATCCAGATAAATACGGACCCATGGACGGCGGATAACGGACGGCATGCGGGTGGATCTATGGTGATCCAGCATGGATCGGATCCAGCGGACCGGTACGAGGACGGATCTGCGGAACGGACCGGATAGATGGCGGACGGAAGGATAGCCGATCCAGCATGAGTGGATGGATCCAGATAATGGACGGCGGATGGACGGCAAATGGATGGATCTATGTGTGTGTATGAGTGATAGATGGGTGGATCTATGTGTATGACTGATAGATGGGTGGATCTATGTGTATGAGTGATAGATGGGTGGATCTGTGTGTATGAGTGATAGATGGGTGGATCTATGTGTATGTGTGATAGATGGGTGGATCTATGTGTGTGTATGTGTGATAGATGTGTGATAGATGGGTGGATCTATGTGTGTATAAGTGATAGATGGATCTATCTATGTGTGTATAGTGATAGATAAATGGATCTATGTGTATGTGTATAGATGGGTGGATAGATGGGTGGATCTATGTGTATGTGTGATAGATGGGTGGATCTATGTGTATGTGTGATAGATGGGTGGATCTATGTGTATGAGTGATAGATGGGTGGATCTATGTGTGTGTATGAGTGATAGATGGGTGGATCTGTGTGTGTATATGAGTGATAGATGGGTGGATCTATGTGTATGAGTGATAGATGGGTGGATCTATGTGTATGTGTGATAGATGGGTGGATCTATGTGTGTATGAGTGATAGATGGGTGGATCTGTGTGTGTATGTAAGTGATAGATGGGTGGATCTATGTGTATGTGTGATAGATGGGTGGATCTATGTGTATGAGTGATAGATGGGTGGATCTATGTGTATGAGTGATAGATGGGTGGATCTATGTGTATGTGTGATAGATGGGTGGATCTATGTGTATGTATGTGATAGATGGGTGGATCTATGTGTATGATTATGTGATAGATGGTTGGATCTATGTGTATGAGTGATAGATGGGTGGATCTATGTGTATGATAGTGATAGATGGGTGGATCTATGTGTATGTGTGATAGATGGGTGGATCTATGTGTATGTGTGATAGATGGGTGGATCTATGTGTGTTATAAGTGATAGATGGATGGATCTATGTGTGTATATGGAGTGATAGATGGGTGGATCTATGTGTATGTGTGATAGATGGGTGGATCTATGTGTGTGTTTAAGTGATAAATGGATGGATCTATGTGTGTGTATGAGTGATAGATGGGTGGATCTATCTGTATGAGTGATAAATGGGTGGATCTATGTATATGAGTGATAGATGGTTGGATCTATGTGTATGAGTGATAGATGGGTGGATCTATGTGTATGAGTGATAGATGGGTGGATCTATGTGTATGAGTGATAGATGGGTGGATCTATGTGTATGAGTGATAGATGGGTGGATCTATGTGTGTATGTGTGATAGATGGGTGGATCTATGTGTGTGTATGTGATAGATGGATGGATCTATGTGTGTGTATGAGTGATAGATGGGTGTATCTATCTGTATGAGTGATAGATGGGTGGATCTATCTGTATGAGTGATAGATTGGTGGATCTATGTGTATGAGTGATAGATGGGCAGATCTGTGTCTATGTGTGATAGATAGGTGGATCTATGTGTGTGCATGTGTGATAGATGGGTGGATCTATGTGTGTGTATAAGTGATAGATGGATGGATCTATGTGTGTGCATGAGTGATAGATGGATGGATCTATGTGTGTGTATGAGTGATAGATGGGTGGATCTATCTGTATGAGTTATAGATGGGTGGATCTATGTGTATGTGTGATAGATGGGTGGATCTGTGTGTATGAGTGATAGAGGGGTGGATCTGTGTGTATGTGTGATAGATGGGTGGATCTATGTGTATGTGTGATAGATGGGTGGATCTGTGTATGAGTGATAGAGGGGTGGATCTGTGTGTATGAGTGATAAATGGGTGTATCTATGTGTATGTGTGATAGATGGGTGGATCTATGTGTATGAGTGATAGATGAGTGCATCTGTGTGTATGAGTGACAGAGGGGTGGATCTATATGTATGAGTGATAGATGGGTGGATCTGTGTGTATGTGTGATAGATGGATGGATCTGTGTGTATGAGTGATAGATGGGTGGATCTATATGTATGAGTGATAGATGGGTGGATCTATGTGTATGAGTGATAGATGGGTGGATCTGTGTGTATGAGAGATAGATGGATGGATCTATGTGTGTATATGAGTGATAGATGGGTGGATCTATGTGTATGTGTGATAGATGGGTGGATCTATGTGTGTGTATGTGATAGATGGGTGGATCTATGTGTGTGTATGAGTGATAGATGGGTGGATCTATCTGTATGAGTGATAGATGGGTGGATCTATGTATATGAGTGATAGATGGGTGGATCTATGTGTATGAGTGATAGATGGGTGGATCTATGTGTATGAGTGATAGATGGTTGGATCTATGTGTATGAGTGATAGATGGGTGGATGATGGGTGTGTGTGTGTGGATGGAGTGATAGATGGGGGTGGATCTATGTGTATGTGTGTGATAGATGGGTGGATCTATGTGTATGTGTGATAGATGGGTGGATCTATATGTGTGTGATAGATGGGTGTCTATGTGTATAGTGATGGGTGGATCTATGTGTATGTGTGATAGATGGGTGGATCTATGTGTGTGTATGAGTGATAGATGGGTGGATCTATATGTGTATGAGTGATAGATGGGTGGATCTATGTGTATGTGTGATAGATGGGTGGATCTATGTGTGTATGAGTGATAGATGGGTGGATCTATGTGTATGAGTGATAGATGGGTGGATCTATGTGTGTATGAGTGATAGATGGGTGGATCTATGTGTATGTGTGATAGATGGGTGGATCTATGTGTATGTGTGATAGATGGGTGGATCTATGTGTATGTGATAGATGGGTGGATCTATGTGTATGAATGATAGATGGGTGGATCTATGTGTATGTGTGATAGATGGGTGGATCTGTGTGTATGTGTGATAGATGGGTGGATCTATATGTGTGTATGAGCGATAGATGGGCAGATCTGTATGTATGTGTGATAGATCGATGGATCCATGTGTAAGTGTGATAGATGGGTGGATCTATGTGTGTGTATGAGTGATTGATGGGTGAATCTGTGTGTATGTGTAATAGACGGGTGGATGTATGAGTGTGTGTGTGTGTGTGTGTGTGTGTGACATGAGAGAAAGTGGTGTATTCTGTGTCCTACATGTTAAGGTGGTCTAATTTCAGAATTATAAGTTACTTTATTATTATTATAGGATATTTATATAGTGCACATATCCACGCACTAGTGCATGCTCAAGGCGCTGGTAATTATAAGTTACCACATGTTACCTTTATCAGTTATGACATGTGTTACCTGATGAGTGACTAAGTGTTACCTTCATCATAAATTTACCTTTATGAGTTACCATTACCCTTATCGCTTACCATATATGTGTTATCTTTATCACTTACCATATATGTGTTATCTTTATCAGTTACAAGGTGTGTTACCTTTATCTTGTGTGGCACTTCCCTCTGCCAACATGCCAGGGAATCCATCATCTTGCCACTCATCCTTCAGCTCCACCCCTTTCATCTTCTCCTGGATAAAACACATTATAACCATAAAACAGTGGCTAATTTAACATAGCCCTATCTACTAGAGGTCTTGGAAATATCACAAACAGGGCAATAAGACTCACAAGTAGTATACCAGTAAAAGATTATAAAGATAAGAAACAAAGGTTGAAAAGAGAATATGTTACAGTAACAGAAGGTTCTTGCACAGCACTACCTTATAGGCATACATAGAGAATCTCACCCGAGTGTCTTTTGATATCAAATATATCACCATGAGTTGATAACGTAAGAAATATCTGAGGCTTGCCAAGGATATTTTTACTTTTATCAACAAGTGTTGATATATTTGATATCAGAACACACGAGGGTGAGATTCTATTTATCATAAAAAAATCACTCTTCGTTAGCTTTCAATGAAAAATGTACATCTCTGAACACGTACTGCCATTAGACTTGCAGTGCAGCGATGTCATAGCATTGTGACGTCATCAAGTTCATGACGTCATAGCATTGTCAGGGCATTGTGCAAAATCTACTCTCAAAACGATATCCCCTAGGAGATATCATCTGATCTCACACAAGCAAATTTTCTCCTGTGGAACACAGTCTCGGATGATAAATTATGTATATACTTTTACATTTTGTGATTCAAAGTTTTAAGAACGCTTATTCTGAGGTATCACGTCTGCAGCAGCCAAGACAACACTCAAACTATTGTGATGCTGATGTCATCTTTTAACAGGGAAGAGAGTTTTTATGGATGTCAACTTCTATATATAATGAGGAACACAACGATTCGGAGTATCCAATGAAGGAGTAAGCAGAAACACTGAACCTTTGTGTTCCTCATAATAAAGACTTGACATCCACAAAAGCTCTCTTCTTTATGTGTATCACTTCTAAATGCCATTCAAAGACCTGGTCTTTCAATAGGACAATTCCGGGCAGCATACAGCATGTGTTACTGCAGAGTTACAGCAGCAAGTGTTACAGCAGTATGTGTTACAGCAGCAAGTGTTACAGCAGCACATGTTACAGCAAGTGTTACAGCAGCACATGTTACAGCAACATGTGTTACAGCAGCAAGTGTTACAGGAGCACATGTCTTACACTTACAGCAGCACATGTTACAGCAGCACATGTTGCAGAAGCAAGTGTTACAGCAGCATGTCTTACAGCAGCATGTGTTACAGCAGCATGTGTTACAGCAGCACATGTTACAGCAGCATGTGTTACAGCAGCATGTGTTACAGCAGCATGTTACAGCAGCAAGTGTTGCAGCAGCATGTGTTACAGCAGCACGTGTTACAGCAGCATGTGTTACAGCAGCACATGTTACAGCAGCATGTGTTACAGCAGCACATGTTACAGCAGCATGTGTTACAGCAGCAAGTGTTACAGCAGCATGTTACAGCAGCACATGTTACAGCACCACATGTTACAGCAGCACGTGTTACAGCAGCACATGTTACAGCAGCACGTGTTACAGCAGCAAGTGTTACAGCAGCATGCGTTACAGCAGCAAGTGTTACAGGAGCACGTGTTACAGCAGCATGTCTTGCAGCAGCACGTGTTACAGGAGCACATGTTACAGCAGCATGTGTAACAGCAGCAAGTGTTACAGCAGCAAGTATTACAGCAGCATGCGTTACAGCAGCAGGTGTTACAGGAGCACGTGTTACAGCTGCATGTCTTGCAGCAGCACGTGGCACAGGAGCACATGTTACAGCAGCATGTGTTACAGCAGCATGTGTTACAGCAGCACGTTACAGCAACATGTGTTACAGCAGCACATGTTACAGTACCACATGTTACAGCAGCAAGTGTTACAGGAGCTCATGTCTTACACTTACAGCAGCACATGTTACAGCAGCACATGTTACAGCAGCACAGTGTTACAGCAGCAATGTTACAGCAACATGTGTTACAGCAGCAAGTGTTACAGCAGCACATGTTACAGCAGCATGTCTTACAGCAAGTGTTACAGCAGCACATGTTACAGCAACATGTGTTACAGCAAGTGTTACAGCAGCATGTCTTACAGCAGCAAGTGTTACAGCAGCATGTCTTACAGCAGCAAGTGTTACAGCAGCACATGTTACAGCAACATGTGTTACAGCGGCAAGTGTTACAGCAACACGTGTTACAGCAACATGTGTTACAGCAGCAAGTGTTACAGGAGCACATGTCTTACACTTACAGCAGCACATGTTACGGCAGCATATGTTACAGCAGCAAGTGTTACAGGAGCACATGTTACAGCAGCACATCTTAAAGCAGTATGAAAGGTAAAACAACTAACCCTCCCTCCATTAGAGTTCATGCAGAAAATATAAGTGTGCAATATAATTTTAGAAGTTAGTTGGCTGACATACAACATACATATACTACCCACCAAAAGTTTAGACTCACTAGTGTAAATGTAGCCACTTACTTCAGTCAACTGTTCAAAACTAGATTATGCAAAATATTCCATGCTGTTTAAAAGTACTGTTTCCACATGAACTGATCTATTGTAAAGCAAATTCGTAACGTTGAAAAGATTATTGTCATGAGTTCAATAAATGATGAAACTCAGTGAAAATTGGTGAATTCTTAACAAAACTTTACACCCAAACTCAGCTGTTCACATGCACGATATTTGCACATGCTTTTCAGCAGTTTGATGCATGATCCTCGTTTAATTTATCTGCATAAGGTTTGCAGTTGGTTCCCTCAAGTTAGTGGAGAAATTCATCTTCGATGTAACCACATATATATACATAACATATAATGAGTGCTTTAAGTGAGTTTAAACTTTTGATGGGTAGTATATATACATTGTCATCCATCATCATCATTTCATGTTGTTTTCACTATATGCTGTTCTTGTCTGCTGCAGTTGAACGTCAGCCTTCTCTATATAGCATACAGACTGGGCTGGGGGAAGGGGGTGGGGGGTGTAACTGAGGCACTTAAGTGGTTATAACTCAGAGTTAAAACCACCACCCTGCCACATGTGCAAACATAACATTTCCCACAGTGTAATCAGTACAGTGTTATTTGTCAATGGGCAGTGTGTGCTAGACAGTACTACACTCTATTAGACACACCACATACTGAGTTTTTTACCTCAGCCATTTTCCATGAAATCTCGTTTATCATGACAATGTGTCACATTTTAAAACATGGAATAAAAGGTGGCTTGGCATCAATGGACAAATTTACTACCGATAAAAAGTATAACTTGATGTATATTTGAGAGACAGTATCTCCAACAGTTTTACATACATCAACTCCTGTTGAAGTGAACACAAATCTATTGGGATATCTCCATGAAATGCACATGGGCATTGACATCGGACTTCCAACATACTCAGCCCTATGGAGAGGGTGGCAGCACCCACAAAGATGATATAAAAAACATAGATCTACCCTCAAGGTACCCAAACCCTTCCTCTGTTGTGGTCATCATCTACCGCAGGCCCTATCCGTGTGCTAGAGACAGGAAACATGCAGGTACCCCTCTCACCTGGACATTCTCAATCTTCATCTTACTACCAGCAACTACAAGCACCTAATGCACAGGATTACACACATCTAGGTGGCTTCGTAAGCTTGAAACATCTCAGTGTCATTGGTATATAATCATATATACACAGGTTTGTATCAATGGCTCTGATTGGCTGGCTTAGAGTACATATCTTGGCAGTCAAGTCGTGGTATCTCCTGGTGCTGATCCATTGTCAGTGACCATATTGATTGAGAGTTAGACTTGAATGAATTCCAGCACAACTTGGCAGTCTCTGTTCAACATTCATGGAAGAGAGCTGAAATTAGCAGAGATCAATACTCCTGTATCTGCCAGTAGCCGTGAGACTGCGGGACTAGGCTGCTCTCCGTGCCAAGCAGTGGACCTGTGCAACTTTGAAGGTTCACACACATTACTCGTTCAAAACATTGCATCCCGTTTGTGTTGTAAAGCCACTCAGTGTCAAATAATGTTATCTATACATAACCACAGAGTCCCTGACACTAAAAGCAGGTTTTACACTACATTCTCACATATGTTAGAAAGTGGCATAAAACACATATTGTATAAAATGTATTTAAATATTTGCAGGTTGCCTGGTACAAAACCTTTTGTGTAAAACACTCGCTTTTAAGGACAGTCAAATCTATATTGCAAGCTTGTAATAGAAATCAAAGCTTTTACAAATCTACAAATACTTGACTGACTCAACTGCTGACATTAAAGAGCAGCTGTCTGGTCTACTGTGCTATACACCGCTCCACAATGTCCCCTGTGTGAATGTGTTATAGCCATTTTGTGAATGTGAAAAGCCTCAGTTACTATAGTGACTCCCACTGTCTACTTCATGCTTAATAATTTGGCTCCTTGATGTATTAATTCTGTATTTGACAAGTTTACAAATCAACCTCCATCCATATATGTCCAGCTTGTTTCAATCAGTCTCAGACTGACCACTATCCACTGTAAGAGGAAGACTATTTATCAGGGTATTATCATTTGCCTGACAACTGCCATCTGCCATTAACTGTTTCATGAGGAATGGAGAGCCTCTGCAAATGACAATGCCCTAGAAAATAGTGTTACGGTCTAAATAGGTAAAGAGAAATTTGCTTCAGCCTGATGATATTCCTTTACCAACCTTAACAAACAATAATGGATTACCTCACTTACAGCACTACAGGAAGTTCAGAGCACAAGACTGCTACTTAAACAGCGCACTTCATCATTGTGCTCACTTTACAGCCTCCATCAGCAATCTGACAAGTGTTTACATATTTACGCTACTGTCCTCTCCTCAACAAATGAATACAAGGCACATCAATACTTGGTCATTCCTACAAGTGGACTATGCTATTCTGATGTGGTGAAAAGCCACTGAGGTTTACATTAGTATACAGATTAGGTAGGATATCATCCACTGGTAATATGTGGATAATGTCCATCCTTAGGCATTAGTGTAGTTACAATATTACACACTTTGTCAGACAATTTGCTGGCTGTTTTTGGATAATTCTGCCCATTTTAACAATATGAGACCTGACAGAAGCCAACCTTAGCCAACGAGGAACTAATAAACATTAACATTTCAATGAACTGAACTATCACTTGTGGACAGTGTAAACATACTGATGCATACAGACAAACTAAACATGCAACTGTGATTAACTTATATGCTGCGCAGGGACATCAGATCTTGTATGGATATGCTATATTATATATATATATTATATATATATATATATACGCACACAATGTCCAAAATAGTACAGGTGCTCAGTCATACATATCTCTATCTATAGATAGATATGGGCAGATCTATCTATCTATCTATCAATCGATCAATAGATAGATGATATATCAGAAAGACTGACAGGTAGATAGATATTAACATCTTGTTATGATGCATTTTTCGCAGGTATTTCTTTCTTATTCAACAGCATAGAGCATAAATGTGTTAATCCAATGAGTCAGGGGAAAATCACTGTGTGAGTGAGAGAATGATTACTGTGTGAGTGAGGGGAAGATTACTGTGTGAGTGAGGAGAAGATTACTGTGTGAGTGAGAGAATGATTACTATGTGAGTGAAGGGGAAGATCACTGTGTAAATGAGGGGAAGAATACTGTGTGAGTGAGGGGAAGATTACTGTGTGAGTGAGGAGAAGATCACTGTGTGAGTGGGGGGAAGATTACTGTGTGAGTCAGGGGAAGATTCCTGTGTGAGTGAGGGGGAAGAGTGAGGGGACGAATACTGTGTGAGTGAGGAAAAGATAGCTGTGTGAGTGATGGGAAGATTACTGTGTTAGTGAGGGGAAGATTACTGTGTGAGTGAGGGAAAGATTCCTGTGTGAGTAAGATTACTGTGTTAGTGAGGGGAAGATTACTGTGTGAGTGAGGGGAAGATTGCTGTGTGAGTGAGGGGAAGATTAATGTGTGAGTGGGGGGAAGATTGATGTGTGAGTGGGGGGAAGATCACTGTGTGAGGGGGGGAAATTACTGTGTGAGTTAGGGGAAGACAACTGCTTGAGTGAGGGAAAGATTACTGTATGAGTGAGGGAAAGATTACTGTGTGAGTGAGGGGATGATTAATGTGTGAGTAGGGGAGATTACTGTGTGAGTGAGGAGGTAGATTAATGTGTGAGTGAGGGGAAGACTACTGCGTGAGTGAGGGAAAGACTACTGTGTGAGTGAGGGGAAAATTACTGTGTGAGTGAGGGAAAGATTACTGCATGAGTGAGGAAAAGATTACTGTATGAGTGAGGGGAAAATTACTGTGTGAGTGAGGGGAAGACTAATACGTGAGTGAGAAAGATTACTGTGTGAGTTAGGGGAAGATTACTGTGTGAGTGCGGGGAAGATTACTGTGTGAGTTAGGGGAAGATTACTGTGTGAGTGAGGGGAAGATTGCTGTGTGAGTGAGGGGAAGATTACTGTGTGAGTGGGGGCAAGATTACTGTGTGAGTGAGGGGAAGACTACTGTGTGAGTGAGGGGAAGACTACTGTGTGAGTGAGGGGAAGTTACTGTGTGAGTGAGGGGAAGATTCCTGTGTGAGTGAGGGGAAGACTACTGTGTGAGTTGACTACTGCTTGAGGAAGATCACTGTGTGAGTGGGGAAGACTACTGTGTGAGTGAGGGAAAGACTACTGTGTGAGTGAGGGAAAGATTACTGTGTGAGTTAGGGGAAGATTACTACGTGAGAGTGAGGGAAAAGATTACTGAGTGAGTTAGGGGAAGATTACTGTGTGAGTGAGGGGAAAGATTACTGTGTGAGTGAGGGGAAGATTACTGTGTGAGTGGGGGCAAGATTACTGTGTGAGTGAGGGAAAGATTACTGTGTGAGTGAGGGAAGATTACTGTGTGAGTGAGGGGAAGATTACTGTGTGAGTGAGGGGAAGTTACTGTGTGAGTGAGAGGGGAAGATTCCTGTGTGAGTGAGGGGAAGACTACTGTGTGATTGGGGGAAGATCACTGTGTGAGGGGGAGATTACTGTGTGAGTTAGGGGAAGACTACTGCTTGAGTGAGGGAAAGACTACTGTGTGAGTGAGGGGAAAATTACTGTGTGAGTGAGGGAAAGATTACTGCGTGAGTGAGGGAAAGATTAATGTGTGAGTGCGGGAAAGATTACTGCATGAGAGGAAAAGATTACTGTATGAGTGAGGGGAAAATTACTGTGTGAGTGAGGGGAAGACTAATACGTGAGTGAGAGAAAGATTACTGTGTGAGTTAGGGGAAGATTACTGTGTGAGTGCGGGGAAGATTACTGTGTGAGTTAGGGGAAGATTACTGTGTGAGTGAGGGGAAGATTGCTGTGTGAGTGAGGGGAAGATTACTGTGTGAGTGGGGGCAAGATTACTGTGTGAGTGAGGGGAAGATTACTGTGTGAGTGAGGGAAAGATTACTGTGTGAGTGAGGGGAAGATTGCTGTGTGAGTGAGGGGAAGATTACTGTGTGAGTGAGGGGAAGTTACTGTGTGAGTGGGAAAACTTGATCAGCTTGGGAAATAGCTGTTTATATGTTGGGGATAGCTACAGCATACCTGACTTGACAGCGAGGGTGTGGACACTTTGGTGCTGGTGGTGCAGACAGGAGTGGATGCAGGAGTGGGGCCACATGCCTGGTCGTCAACAGGGTTCACATCATGTAGATGGGTGGGTGCAGAAGACGGGATGGTGGGATCACATGCATGCTGGGGGAGCAGGAAAACTTCTTCATCTAGGGGTGCAGCAACAACATGAACATGGCCTACCTGAGTGGTGTTGTGTGTAGCTGCTGGCACAGTCACTGGTACATCCTGGTCTACACCAATACTGATCCTCCCAGCGGAGGTCATGTACACTTCCTTCCTCTCACCAGCTGACTCACTGTAGTGAGGCCTGCCACTCTCCACCATGTCACATCTCTCCAAACTATCTCCTACAGTATTATCAACAAGCTCATCCAACTCTGTGCTGTTAGCTATATCATATTTGTCTCCATTGTTTATGTGTATCCTTTTCTTCTTGGATTGTGAGTCTTCTTCTTTCAAACCACTGACTTCCTCATCTGGATCATTACGGTTATCATCAAGAGACATGTTCAGATTGGAGTCTATGTGTATGACTTTCCTGACACCTGAGGAGTCACCCTGTGCTTGCTCTGCTACCTGTGTCAGAGAACTTTCTTCACAACTAATTCTCCTGAACGAACAACTCTCTGCAACTTCCCTCTCTCTGCATCAGTCTCTAACGCACCTCTGTCAACTATATCCATATTTCCATGGAGTGGGTCCATCTCAGGTAGATATTCTGTTTCTACAGAAACAGTGTTGGAATCTGACTTACTGATTGTCTTCAAGTACCTCGGGGCTCTTCCTGTTTTCAACTCATCTGGCTTGGGGTCGCTGGACACCACCTGGCCCTCCGATGTGACAGAGGTTTCAGAGAGGTCTGCTACCTGGCTCACCTCCACTTGTGGAATGAATGTTTCAAGGGCATTTTGTATGAGCTCACTGGCAAGAGTAAAGGCCACCTCGTTCATGGCGGTTTCACTCATGTGGTCCTCCTTTGAGGCTGAACTATTCCAGCCCTTGATTACATCACTGGCAGGAATGGTGGGTCCGTCACTGTCACCATTACTGTAGGGAGGACAGGTGAAGCTGGCCCTTATTGCCCTCTCTCCCTCCATCTGTTCAGATATAGCACTGGCTACCACATTGCTGGAATTGTTATGACCCAACACCTGATGTCTCCCTACCTGCAGGACTAGAGCAGAATCACCAGTCATGTCAGTTAGCATTTCGTCTGCAATGAGGCTGGCAACAGTATTGTTTGCAGCAGAATTAGACATTTCAAAATCCAGCATATTTCCATGTGGCACGGAATTGTGTGTGCATGCCTGGTCCATTGCTGGACTGGCACCTACTGTTGAGTCTGCTGCCTGAGTGGTATCCTTGTGCCTCCCGTTCGGGCCTTCCCTTCCCTCCACTCCCCCATTCTGTGAAGTATGGGGTACAGAACCAAGGTTGTTTTCAGAGCCACTAGCACCAGCTTCATTTTCATTCTCATCCAAAGAGGGCAGACTTGCACGTTTTTCTTCAACTTTTCGAACCATTTCAGTGTTATTAAAACTTGGAAGATTTTCTTGTCTGAAGGCATCTAATGATCCTTCCACATAACTATTATGGGGAGTCCAAGGAAACTTGTTTTGTAAATCATCCTGATTATTCTCTGTGTCATTCACAGCATTCTCAAGAGATGCTCTTTTTTCTCTAATACGTTGTACCATTTCAGAATTATAGAAGCTTGGCAATTCTGTTTCCTTGAGGTGTTTCTCCATATTGCTGTCCGAGTAGCTGTTTTGTGGAGTAAATGTGAAGTCCTGCTCCTCCTGTGCAATGCCGTAGTCCTGTGTCGGGGAATTCCCCTCTGTGTCAGCTCCAAGTGAGGCCTTCTTTGCTTTAATTCTCTCCACCATCTCAGAACTGTTAAAACTAGGCAAATCATGATCCATGGCAATTCCACTGTATTCAACATCCATGAAACTGTTTGGGGGTGTCACTGGGTAACTGGACACCTTAGACCCTTGTCCGGAATTCTGCCCGGAGGAAAAGTCCATTGGACTTTCTAAGCCTGAAGAATACAATTCCTGTCCTGAGGTTGGTTGTAACACATCTGCTTCTGTCAACTCAAAATCGTCAACCTTGGTATTGATCAAGTTATCAATAAATTCTGAGGGTCTTTGGATATCTCCAGTATTGTCTTCATTATCAGCAGATGGTATCAGAACATATGGATCAAAGTTGTTTAACAGGTCAGTATTGTCCAAATCATCATTCTTCCTAGGTCCTACTGGCGACAACACTGCACAACTGGTCACATTGGATTCATTTCTATTCTCTCCTGCAGCTAAATCTGTCCCTCTGTCTGCCTCCTCATTGCCCAGAAACAGCGTATCCGATTGCTTCGACAAAACTGCAGGACCAGTCATATGGCCCTCAGAAGAAGCACTAGTTTGTGCAGTGTGTGAGGAGGCAGCTGGGTGGAACAGGTCCAGTGTGTCAGGTGACAGCAGACCCTGGCTACTGTCATGTCCCTGCTGGGACTCTCCCTGGCCTGGCAGATCCATTAACGAGCTCAGCCCATCCGTGCTGCCACCTGACACAAACGACCTGACCGCACTGAGAGCAGCACTTTCATCTGGTGTTTTTTCTCCATTGAGAAAAGCCTTGAGTATTGGCATGACCTTTTTGCGAGAGGCTTGCACATTTCCCTGATTGAAGACAGCAATATCATCTGGACCATCACTAATGGTCTCAAGCATCAGACTGGGGCTACTGCAGCACTCAAGGACATCTGCTATCTGAAACCAAATTAATACACATGAGTAACACATTGGCAGCCAGTGTATAATAACTAGTATAGTTTATGAATAACTTTTTCAAATAGACATGTACATAATTAACTATCTAATTAGCCTACATAATTTGGCATAATTAGGCAATTATACAGAGGATGACACATATCTTGGGTAATTAACTTCTCTGTTATGCAGTTATTCTGATCATAATCAACTGATCAAAATCTCAAGTAAAAAAATTAATTGAAGACTTATAGGTATTTAGCAACTGGATGTCAACATGACAAAAAGTGTTATTTGACAATAACGTTATCATTATGAATACATATTGGTTCAGGGCTAATGGTTACTCTTTCAGCACCTGAGCGTTGTGCCAGTAAAAGGGGCAATGATGCAGTCACTGTCAGTAAAGGGGGACCTGATGTCTGGGCAATGATGCAGCCACTGTCAGTAAAGGGGGACCTGATGTCTGGGCAATGATGCAGCCACTGTCAGTAAAGGGGGACCTGATGTCTGAGCAATGGTGCAGCCACTGTCAGTAAAGGGGGACCTGATGTCAGGGCAAGGATGCAGTCACTGTCAGGAAAGGGGGACCTGATTTCAGGGCAATGATGCAGCCACTGTCAGTAAAGGGTGACCTGATGTCTAAGCAAGGAAGCAGTCACTGTCAGTAAAGGAGGACCTGATGTCAAGGCAATGATGCAGCCACTGTCAGTAAAGGGGGACCTGATGTCTGGGCAATGATGGAGCCACTGTCAGTAAAGGAGGACCTGATGTCTGGGCAATGATGCAGCCACTGTCAGTAAAGGAGGACCTGATGTCTGGGCAATGATGCAGCCACTGTCAGTAAAGGTGGACCTGATGTCTGGGCAATGATGCAGCCACTGTCAGTAAAGGGGGACCTGATGTCTGGGCAATGATGCAGCTACTGTCAGTAAGGGGGGACCTGATGTCTGGGCAATAATGCAGCCACTGTCAGTAAAGGGGGACCTGATGTCTGGGCAGTGATGCAGCCACTGTCAGTAAAGGGGGACCTGATGTCTGGGCAATGATGCAGCCACTGTCAGTAAGAGGGACCTGATGTCTGGGCAATAATGCAGCCACTGTCAGTAAAGGGGGACCTGATGTCAGGGCAGTGATGCAGTCACTGTCAGTAAAGGGGGACCTGATGTCTGGGCAATGATGCAGTCACTGTCAGTAAGGGGGACCTGATGTCTGGGCAGTGATGCAGTCACTGTCAGTAAGGGGGGACGTGATGTCTGGGCAATAATGCAGTCACTGTCAGTAAAGGGGGACCTGATGTCTGGGCAATGATGCAGTCACTGTCAGTAAGGGGACCTGATGTCTGGGCAGTGATGCAGCCACTGTCAGTAAGCGGGACCTGATGTCTGGGCAATAATGCAGCCACTGTCAGTAAAGGGGGACCTGATGTCAGGGCAATGATGCAGCCACTGTCAGTAAAGGGGGACCTGATGTCTGGGCAATAATGCAGCCACTGTCAGTAAAGGGGGACCTGATGTCTGGGCAGTGATGCAGTCACTGTCAGTAAAGGGGGACCTGATGTCTGGGCAATGATGCAGCCACTGTCAGTAAAGGTGGACCTGATGTCTGGGCAAGGAAGCAGTCACTGTCAGTAAAGGGGGACCTGATGTCTGGGCAATGATGCAGCCACTGTCAGTAAAGGAGGACCTGATGTCTGGGCAAGGAAGCAGTCACTGTCAGTAAAGGGGGACCTGATGTCTGGGCAATGATGCAGCCACTGTCAGTAAAGGGTACCTGATGTCTGGGCAATGATGCAGTCACTGTCAGTAAAGGGGGACCTGATGTCAGGGCAATGATGCAGTCACTGTCAGTAAAGGGGGACCTGATGTCAGGGCAAGGATGCAGTCACTGTCAGTAAAGGGGGACCTGATGTCAGGGCAATGATGCAGCCACTGTCAGTAAGAGGGGACCTGATGTCTGGGCAATAATGCAGCCACTGTCAGTAAAGGGGGACCTGATGTCAGGGCAGTGATGCAGTCACTGTCAGTAAAGGGGGACCTGATGTCTGGGCAATGATGCAGTCACTGTCAGTAAGGGGGACCTGATGTCTGGGCAGTGATGCAGTCACTGTCAGTAAGGGGGCGTGATGTCTGGGCAATAATGCAGTCACTGTCAGTAAAGGGGACCTGATGTCTGGGGCAATGATGCAGTCACTGTCAGTAAGGGGACCTGATGTCTGGGCAGTGATGCAGCCACTGTCAGTAAGCGGGACCTGATGTCTGGGCAATAATGCAGCCACTGTCAGTAAAGGGGGACCTGATGTCAGGGCAATGATGCAGCCACTGTCAGTAAAGGGGGACCTGATGTCTGGGCAATAATGCAGCCACTGTCAGTAAAGGGGGACCTGATGTCTGGGCAGTGATGCAGTCACTGTCAGTAAAGGGGGACCTGATGTCTGGGCAATGATGCAGCCACTGTCAGTAAAGGTGGACCTGATGTCTGGGCAATGATGCAGCCACTGTCAGTAAAGGGGGACCTGATGTCTGGGCAAGGAAGCAGTCACTGTCAGTAAAGGGGGACCTGATGTCTGGGCAATGATGCAGCCACTGTCAGTAAAGGGTACCTGATGTCTGGGCAATGATGCAGTCACTGTCAGTAAAGGGGGACCTGATGTCAGGGCAATGATGCAGCCACTGTCAGTAAAGGGGGACCTGATGTCAGGGCAAGGATGCAGTCACTGTCAGTAAAGGGGACCTGATGTCTGGGCAATGATGCAGCCACTGTCAGTAAAGGGGGACCTGATGTCTGGGCAAGGAAGCAGTCACTGTCCGTAAAGGGGGACCTGATGTCAGGGCAGTGATGCAGCCACTGTCAGTAAAGGGGGACCTGATGTCAGGGCAGTGATGCAGCCACTGTCAGTAAAGGAGAACCTGATGTCTGGGCAGTGATGCAGCCACTGTCCGTAAAAGGGGACCGGAGGTCAGGGCAATGAAGTGGACCCTGAAGTACATATATATGAGGTGTACATATTTATAATGTACATGTATACCGTATATTACAGTAGATAAGCCAATCTCAAAGACAAGTCGACCCCCTGACGTGATCCTTAAAATCAGTATCAAAATAGTATGTTCCATAGATAAGCCAACCCCCCAACCTTCGCTCATATTTTCATTCTTATCAGTCATCGGAAATAGTGTTAATGCTGGGGTTACACTATGTTCCGGGAGGCCAAGGCAGCCCCGTTTCGCCGAAACGTAGTAAAACGGGGACAAAACAGGATGTACGTGAGACAGCATGGAGGGACAATGTTAATAGAAAGTCTTAACAGAATGCGCAAAACGTGTCAAAACCTTGATCAAAACGTGAGAAACGTGACGGCACACATTAGAATGCGACAGGCGGGGAGGAAACGTAATGGCATCCGTAGAGGACTGCAGGCCAAATCGTAGTGTGCCTTTGAGCTTCCGGGACGTTTTTCCCAACAGCCCATCACAATGAACCTCCAAAAAAGGAAGCAGCAGGAGGCTCACTTCTCCTCCATACACTGTAGCAGCAGGAGGCTCATTTCTCCTCACAATGAACCTCCATACACTGTAGCAGCAGGGGCTCATTTCTCCTCACAATGAACCTCCATACACTGTAGCAGCAGGAGGCTCATTTTTCCTCATAATGAACCTCCATACACTGTAGCAGCAGGAGGCTCATTTTTCCTCACAATGAACCTCCATACACTGTAGCAGCAGGAGGCTCATTTCTCCTCACAATGAACCTCCATACACTGTAGCAGCAGGAGGATTATTTTTCCTCACTATGAACCTCCATACACTGTAGCAGCAGGAGGCTCCCTTCTCCTCACAATGAACCTCCATACACTGTAGCAGCAGGAGGCTCCCTTCTCCTCACAATGAACCTCCATACACTGTAGCAGCAGGAGGCTCCCTTCTCCTCACAATGAACCTCCATACACTGTAGCAGCAGGAGGCTCCCTTCTCCTCACAATGAACCTCCATACACTGTAGCAGCAGGAGGCTCATTTCTCCTCACAATGAACCTCCATACACTGTAGCAGCAGGAGGCTCATTTCTCCTCACAATGAACCTCCATACACTGTAGCAGCAGGAGGCTCATTTCTCCTCACAATGAACCTTCTGAATTAATTTGGGATGCATAAATAGACAATTGAAACAAGAAAAAGCAAAAACTGACTTCATGAAAGAAGCGTTTAATGAATAAAGTATGTTTAATGTATGAAGATTGTTTAATGTGTGAAGATCGTTATATGTGTGAAGATTGTTTAATGACAGCATGCAGCATGTGAATAAAGAAACTAAGATGTACATTAAAGACATGCACACAGACACTGATCAACACTCCGAAATAACCTACAGCTTCAGGGTTCCCAGACATTTTAGTTCTAGCCAATAGTTGTATGACAACTAATACATTTGAAACACAGTACACCCGCTAGTGAAGTGTGACAGTACATTTGGTAGAGTAACTGTCATCCATTTGGTAGAATAACTGTCATCCATTTGGTAGAATAACTGTCATCTATTTGGTAGAATAACTGTCCTTAAAAGACTTATATTACCCTCCCTAAACCATCTTTTTACCATATTGCCAAATCCAAGAAGTGATACCATTCAAAATCGACAGAAAAAATGTTTTAAATTCGTCTGGAAAGGAAAACCTGACAATATCAAGTGAAACACAATTACTCAATCATACAAAGATGGGGCTAAAGGCACCTTTAATTTTTGAAACAATACAAGCTCAAAATATCTCATGGCTGCGCAGAACATTCTAACACATCAAATCTTAAAGATCACATATACTCTTGGGGGGTACAAATACATAAATCACTAACTGGCATCGCTATAAATGAAACCCCGTCATTAAAACTCCTCACTTCGGTCTTTAATTAACTTAAATCGACCTTTTTGACAACAGTGCACAATTCTCACCCCCGAACGAAATTTCAACCAATCAGAGAGGGGCGTCTCTGTGACGTCATAGGA